ACAGACAGAGAGAGACAGAGAGACAGAAAGCGAGAAATCACCCCCCAGGGGGGATGGTCACGCCGCAATCCCTTCTCCTCCATTCTCCTCCATTCTCCTCTCAGGATCTTGGGCACGCACACACACGCACCCGGCGTGAGTTTTAAGCCACCAAGTCTGGGACGCGAACCGCGGTCAACCATCTGGGAGTCCAGCAACATAGCCATTACGCTAACTGCTGGTTCCCGCTTTTAACAGACCTTTTGAAACTCATCCAAGTCTGTCCACCTGCACCCCTATTCACCCTCTTCATTTGACCTCAGCATGTGGACACAGAAACAGCTAGAAGGTGATGCCTCCTGTCCCTGGTCTAGGCTTGGAAAAAGGACCAAGACCTCCTTTTATTTAAAAAATTTTCTTCAGAGCTTTTTGCTGTAGGGCACATGTGCTCCCAGAAAGACAGAGAGACAGAAAGTGAGAAATCACCCCCACCCCCCTCAGGAGAGATGGCCATGCTGCAATCCCTTCTCCTCCATTCTCCTCTCAGGATCTTGGGCACGCACACACACGCGCCCGGCGTGAGTATAAGCCGCCGGGTCTGGGACTCGAACCATGGTCGACTACATGGGAGTTTAGCAACATAGCCATTATACTAACTGCTGGTCCGGTCCCACACCAAGACCTCTTAATTCCAGGTCCTTGTAGTAATTTCCTGAGTGCTTGGCAAATGAGCACAGCCTTCAAATGGGGGGGACACATGGGGGCCAGCAAGTGGCATGGCAGTTAAAGCTTTGGACTCCCACATGGCAGACCATAGTTCGAGTCCTGGACGACTACTCAAGTCCAGTAGTTTGAAAATCACTCTGGGGGCTGGCTGGTGGTGTGGTGATTAAGACACTGGATTCTCACATGGCTGACCATGGTTTGGGTCCTGAACCTGGTGACTTCCTTTCTCACTTCTCTGTCTCTGTCTCTCTCCAGTCAAATTAAAAAAAAAAAAAAGTAATAACAGGGGCTGGCAGGTGGTACGGTGGTTAAGGGTGCTGAACTCCCACATGACCAACTGTGGTTCAAGTCCCAGACCTGGCAGTTTGCCCTCACGCCTCCCCACCCCCCCCCACTCTGTCCTTCTCTGGTCAAATGAAAACAAATAAATAATTGATGTTAAAGAAAACAATTCTTTTAAAAAATAGTAATAATAATCATAGGACCAGCATATGGTATGGTGGTTAAGGGCGCTGGACTGCCACATGGCCTGCTGTGGTTCAAGTCCTAGACCTGGTGGCTTACTTTCTTGCTTTCTGTCTTTCTGTCTCTCGCTGGTCTAATTAAAATAAATAAATCAATAAAGTTAAATAAAATAATTCTTTAAAAAACAATAAATTAAATCATTAAAAATTTATTTAAAAAAGAAAAAAAAAAAGAACATCATTTTGGCTGTGTGCACGTGTGCCCAAGATCCCAGGAGGAGAATGGAAGAGAAGGAATTGTGGTGTGACCATCCTCCCAGGAGAAGGGAGGGTGATTTCTCACTTTCCTCCTCACTGTCTCTCTGTCTCTCTCCAGCCAGTGCCTGGGCCCTTGGCAAACACCTAAAAATAAATAAATAAATTGGAAACGAACAAACAAACACATGGGACATGAAGTTAGTAGCTACCCGAAAATTTTCTTTTTTCTTTTCTTTTTTTATTTTTTTGAGATTTTTTTTTTGCTATAGGGCGCGTGCGCTTACCAGACAGACAGACAGAGACAGAGAGATAGAAAGCGAGAAATCACCCCCCAGGGGGGATGGCCACATTGCAATCCCTTCTCCATTCTCCTCTCTGGAACTTGGGCACGCACGCACACGCGCCCGGCGAGAGTTTTAAGTCACCGGGTCCGGGACTCGAACCACGGTCGACTACATGGGAGTTAAGCGACATAGCCATTATGCTAACTGCTGGTCCCAGCCACCAAAGATTTTCATGGCCATGATTGGAAAAGACTATGCAGCCACCCCCGGTTCCTATTTCAAACCTCAGTTCTGAGACACCGCGTTCCCGTGGCCCGCCCCCCAGCTCTGTGAGCCTGGCTGGGAGTGGAGTAGATCCGCCATTGTGTAGCGGAGGGATTCGTTCATTCATGTATTCGTCCATTCACTCTTTCATGCTTGAACAAGCTAAGCTCCTGACTGCCTGCAGGCTTTTCCCTTGAAGTTCCCTCTACCTAAAATGCTCTCCCCATAGATTCTCCCATGGCTGGCTCTTTGCTTTCAGCAACCAGCTTCACAATCACTTCTGTAGGTGACTGCAGAGCCTGCAGAGCCGTCCTCTCTGATCACGCGTCCCCTCCCAACCATCGTCCATTCTGTCACCCTGTTTATCTGTTGATTGATTGATTTTAGTTTTTGCAATAGGGCACGTGCACTCACCAGAGAAATACAGAGAGAGAGGGACAGTGAGAAATCACCCTCCACGGAGATGGCCATGCGGCAGTCCCTTCTCCTCCGTTCCCCTCTTGGGATGTTGGTCACACAGGCACATGTGCCTGGGAAGTTTGGCAAGTCTGGGACCTGGATGGCAGAGTTGGCTAGGTGGGATCCAGCGACTTTAGTCTCTGAGCCACCTATTGGCCCTAATTTTTTTTTTTTTCATTTGCTAGAGGACAAGTGAGCTCACTGCAGAGAGACAGGTAGAGAGAGAAAGAAGAGGGACCAGTAGTTGGCATAATGGCTATGTTGCTGGACGCCCATGTAGTCAACCGTGGTTCGAGTCCCAGACCTGGTGACTTAAACTCACACTGGGCGTGTGTGCGTGCGTGCCCAAGATCCTGCAAGGAGAATGGAGGAGAAGGGATTGCGGCGTGACCATCCTCCCTGGAGGGTGATTTCTCACTTTCTGTCTCTCTGTCTCTCTCTGTCTTTCTGGCATGTGCAAAAACCTCTCAAAAAAAGAGAGAGAGAAAGAGAAAAAAGTGAGAAAGCATTCCCTGTGGGGAGTGGTCACACTGAAATTCTTTCTCCTCCACCTCTTCCTCTTTTCAGGATTTTGGGCATTCGTGTGCCCACTTAGTACACCACCCAGTGTGTTTCTTTTCTTTCTTTCCTTCTTTTTTTTAAATGTTTTTGCCATAGGGCACGTGCACTTCCAGAGAGAGAGAGACAGAGAAAGGGAAAGTGAGAAAGCTCCCCCCAAGGGGATGGCCACACCACCACGATCCCTTCTCCTCCATTCTCCTCTTGGGATTTGGGGTACACACACACCTGGTGTGTTTCAAGCCACTGGGTCCAGGACTCCACCTCCAGGCGGCCATGTGGAATCCAGCCACTTTAACCCCCACACCACAGGCTGGGTCTCACCTTATTGTAGTTTTATTCACACTTCTTACTGTCTAAAGTTATCTTTACTTATTTGTACCTTAGTCTTGTTTAGCATCTGCTTTGAAATGCGAGACCGGAAAGAAGAATTATTTATTTAATTTTATTCATTTATTAGAATTCAATTTGACAAGACTAAGAGAAAGTCACCCAGTCCAGGGCTCGAACCACGATCTACCATGTGAGAGTCCAGTAGCCCAACCACCCTGCCACCATTTGTCTTATTCAGGGCTGCATCCTCAGTGCCTAGGGTAGGGCCTGGCACAGAGTAGGTGCTCAGAAACGGTTTGCTAATAAGGACTCCTGTTTCACGCACACTGAGGGGCCGGCATTGAGATGCCAACGTAGGAGCTCCATAATGGGCCCCTCTGGCGTTTTTTGGTCTTGTGTTGCTCTCTGCTGGGTCCGGAGAGGACTGGCTCTAGGATCTCCTCCCCAAAGGCGCCCGGCCCTCAGTGCAAGGCCAGGAGAGAAGTGGATGGTGCTGGCGAGGGCCTGCCCCACCCGGCTTCTGCTCCGCTAGGGAGCTGAGAGGTCTTTCGGGCAACGACAGACCTCCATCCTTTCGCCCCTTTGCCTTCCAGAAGGATTTACCCCTGCCCCGGAAAAGCAGCAGGTGAGCCTTGGGGAGACACGCTCGGGGCCCGACGCCCCTTCTCCGGCAGGGGTGGGGGCGCCAGACGCGCGCGCGGGCGGGGCCTGGCGCGCCGGCACACAGCAGCGCCCCCTCCCGGCGGTC